CCCGCCTGTTTGGCGGGGCGGGGCGGGCCGGCCCGCGGGCCCAGGCCCGTTTTGACATCTCTAATCAAAAGCAAGAGATTACCATTGACCCAATAATCTACCCAACATAACATTTCCTTCTTTTGTTTTTTATATTCACTAAACTAACTAAAAACAAAGTAACAAATAAACAAACTTAAGCGGCAAATCAACCTCATGGTTTGTCTACTCATCACTGAGAAGTTCCATAAATGAACGTGTAGCATATTTGTCCACCAAAAGTCGCTCTTCAGTAATTAGTTTGCTTTTGAACGGGTTACTTCAGTCAAGACAACAATCATCACTTTCTTGCAAAGCATTCACAAATAAACATTACATATAATATGTAACATATAACAAAATAAACACAACCCACGCCTCTTTTTTCTGGTCAGCACCTATTACATAATCTTGTCAGGCAGGATGCTTAATTTTAACAACATGCAATGGACTAAAGGATTTTCTTGCCAAGTTTTTACATTTTTATTATTTATGAAATGATATGTCATTCAACTCAATAATAACTTACAATTGCAGCCAAGTGGCAAAGAGGGCTTCTTGCGCATACAATGCAAAGGAGGGGCACACTCCTACAAGGAGACGACTAAACCACACCACAATGGAAAATCAGACACTTCGCAAGGAAGACAGACCACCACACAAAGCATGAAACTCAAGGCACAGGCAACCATCACCCACTGTGAGCTAATTAATGTTGTTGGCTCTGCTAGTGGTTAAGCCCCTCAATCAGCTCAAACAGAAGCACAAGAAATAAGATAAGTTAACTATTATCTCACCCCAACATCTCGCCACAATTCACAATTGATAAGAAACTTAAAACAGCCTGAGTGTCTCACTATAATCAAATAAATAGTTTTATACACAGTACTTACTATATTGGCATCTAGAAAAGAGGAAAATCCAAATCCCAAAACACACCAAACCTTAGATGCTTACAACCAAAATTGACATGCCAATTCACATATCAATTATAAATTTCCCTAATTCTTCCAGCACTTATCAAGGATTTGATCTTCTAAACGCAGGGGCGCGTATCCATATCACTATAAATGAATACCTGAAGATCTCGTGCTCCATGGAGATCCGGAGCGAGTTTGCAGAGTGCTGATTCCTCGCATCGACGATCTGTCTAGGTGGACAATTCAACGCCTCCTACACATCCAGATCGTACAACGGTTCGTACAGATCGTCATATCAATGACCTAGTTTCCAAATCATAAAACATAGGGTGAGTCAAGGCTCTCTTGCTAGGGCATTTGGAAGTGTGATGTCTTCACAGTAAGGAAATATTGTGTTTAGTCACATTAACCACAGTAGATTTTAACATTAGAAAAACCCATAGGTCTTGAAGAATTCTAAATTTTATGTTAGTTTTTTAACATTATTCAACTAATTTATCCTAATTAAAAAATTTGCCTTTAATTTTGAATTAGAGTTTACATAAAACCAATCTTGCATATCTTTTTCTTTTCTAGATTATGCAATTCAATTCGGTTTTGTTCAAGTAAAGAAACATTTTAAATTTGACAAGAAGAATTATCTTGCAAAACTGAGCATCTAAATTTAGGCAATTAGTCGATGCAAAAGATTTGAAAATTATATTTCAAATGAAAAGAATTTAGTAATCAAATAGACTCACATACAATCTCGTTCGTGGTAAATTAAAAACACTAAAGAACAAAGATGTAATATTTAACCCCAATTTCAATATCTCCAAACCAACTTCATGCTATTCATTCTTACAATTATAGCCATTTAAAAGCAGTGAAAATGACGGTGATTTCCAGTTTTCCATTCTTCCACATCTAAATCAACTAAACATAGTGGATCTTATCATCATCTACGGGTCAAATAACACTCCCGTAGAGAACAAGCATTTTCAATCTATACCCAAAAGAAAAAGTACCGTATTTCTTGAGGCGATTGGATAATGTTTTCATGTGAAAAAAGCGGAGAGGGGATTGTAGTTCGGTTCGACTACACCGTTTCATAGCAGACGCCATTAGACAGACTTTGTATTCATAACTCTGAGAAAATCTCTCTAGAAATCTCATCTCGGTAAAAGACAACTTTTTTATTTGTTAGATTTACGGAACACACTATCCGTTGTTTGTGAAAACTCAAAGGCGTGTTTTTTAGTTTGTAGGTACTCAAAAATACACAAAACAAATAATAAAAAAAATTTAAACTTAAAAGAAAAAAATACCCAAAGATTTAAAGGCCAAATCGTTTTAGGAGTGGGAACGTCATTAGTTGTTGCAGCTGCACCGGCATTGCAGCCGTGGCGTCGCCCCATTTGGTCAGCTGCTGCCCAATGCGCTTCTCTCCAGTGCCTCTCCGCCATCCTGGAGTTGATCAGTTCACAAAATTCATTCTTTCCCTTCACCTGAAGTTTAGTTTGTTCTGACCAAAAATCTCAAGCCTTGTGCTAACATTCTTCGACGACAAGCCCTCTCTTAAGCACCTAAAATTCTCGAAAGCCTGCATGATCGGTATATTCTCCCACATAAAATTTAGACAAAATCAGTTAGACCAAATCTCAAAACAACAAAACACCAACAACAAAAAACAAAAAATTGATGGAAAAAACAATAAGTGCACACCAAAGCAACATTAGTCAAGCAATAAGCAAATGAGGCCATTATAAATTTTGACCATCTTTGTTTAGGCATTCGTCAATCATCCACCTAATTGCGTACCACAATACAAATCTATACTTATATAAAAAGGCATTCTATTTACTAGAATTAGTAGTAAGAAAAGTCAAATGTAATTAATGCATTCTATTTCCATCAAGTATTTTATTTAATTATTTTAGTTAATTATTTTATCTCATAACACCTTTTCAATACAACTTACCATGATTTTTCAATTGTGATTAAAAACTAAATTTTACGTTTAAAATCTTGTTAAATTATTATTATTATTTTTATAAAGCACATATTATTTATTAAAAAATTGTATATATATATATAATACACATCACAATACCATGGTAGATAATTTAAATTTCAACAGACCAAAATGCCAATGATTTAAATTTGAATACACATATGCGTTTGACCAAAAGTCGGGATGATTTAAAATTGAGCCCATAAAAAATTATTTAAATTTGAACACACTAGAAATTTTATGTACTTTTTATTTATAAATATATTGAAAGTGGTATTTAATGGCTGTTATATAAACTAATTTAATATATTTACAATGAATAAAAGTTTGAATGAATAATTTGTAATGTTATTCACAATGTTTGTGACTTATGAGACACGAACACATAACTCTATACATATTTGCCAGAGGGCGGCTTAATAATTTTTTAGACTTAACGTTGATTAAAAAAGGTAGAAAATAGATAATAACATTATTACTTTTTAGACTTAAACGGACAAGGCTGTGAAAATAACTCATTTAATATCTTTGTCCCGTGCATCGCACGGGGTACGTACTAGTCAAATAAAAATGGCTCAATTAACTACTCCTTAGACATTAATTAGAAATACATTTCTTACCTTTTTTTACATACACACACACATATATATATATATATATATGTGTGTGTGTGTGTGTGTGTGTTCTAAACTACAAAGTATACACACACACACATATTATACACATAAACATAAAATCTTGAACCTGGCAATTAGCACCATCAAACGGGCCGGGCCGATCCGGCCCGCTCTGGCCCGCAGTTCAAACGGGGCGGGCCAAAATGGCCCGCATTTCTACGGGCTGGGAAATCCATGGCCCGTAGCCCGCCCGCATTAGCCCGCGGGCCAAATCAGCTCGTCCGCGAGGTTTTTTTTAATTACTATTTTTTTTATTGTTATTATTATTTTTGGCAATTTATAATGCAATTTTGGTTTTTAAATTCAAACTATAAAAAAAATAAAAATAACAGTGGGAATTGAATAAGAATTACTTGTACGATATTTTGATCTCGATGGTGACCATATATTGTGATTGAATTGTGGTAAAATGCAAAATGAACTAAAAACTTTCATCCTTTAATAATTGGCTATTTTTAATAATTGTTATTGCTATTATGCTATATTAAGGAAAGTGATTGGATTGAGACATTTAAAAGTGGACGACCAATTTTTTGTCAGCTCCATCAAATCTCCACCTTGCTCAAATTCTTCAGGTCTTTACATTTTTATTTCATATTTATATTATACAATTAAATTCAAGAAAAAAAAAAAGAATACAATACTTGTCATAAAAGAAAAATTACATTTTTATTTCATATTTATATTATACAATTAAATTCAAGACAAAAAAAGAATATAAATATACAATACTTGTCATTAAAAAAAAAAACGGGCTGGCCAAACGAAGGCCCAAGCCCGTCCATTTAGGCGGGCGGACGGGCCAGCCCGCGGGCCATGGCCCGTTTTGACAGTGCTACTGGCAATATTCTAAACTACAAAATCGAGAAGTTGTGACGCCCAAGAAGTCCCTCATTGCAGCTCTCGTCGGGTCGTACAACAGCTTGTGCAGCTAGAAAACGTTGCTAGCGGCCACCGTTTGACACTTCCTCATGTGGAGCATCCACCGCCGTACATCCTCCAGCCGGTCGACAACTAGGTGGAACTCGAATAGCAGGTTCAGGGCAGCCGCAATCCCCGACAACTGCGCGTTGGTTTCCATCAGCTCCTGCTTTGACCCGCCCACGCCCGTGATCTGAATTTGGCTCCGCGGGCGGGAGTTGTCTGTGCAATTTTCCTGAAATTGCACACCACAATACAAATCAAATTAAGACGGTTCAATTAATTACTCTTGAGGCATTAATTAGGAATACATTATTCTTAATGCAAATGTAAGCGTCCTGGTCCAGTTTTGAGCGGATCGATCTTTGTCCTCGCCGGTAGAACGCCGGAAACCTGCAAGTAACTCTCACACCGGGTGTTGTGTCCGGTGAAGAGCCTCCGATGTTTAAGTCAGTATGTGTATGAGTATATGAAGTGAAGAATGAATAGAATGTGTTAAGGGAAAAAGACTCACCCCCTTTATATAGGGGTGAGATACCTGCCCTAATAGCTGCCTGGATAAGATGAGTTGGCTGCCCAAGCTGCCCGTCCATACTCTGACACACCGCGCATGTCAGAGGTGGCGCGGGGGCGTTGGGGAGCTGTCAGAGGTGGTTATCGATATCCACCAATGTACTCTCGACACGTGTCCCCCTGCACAAGGGGTAAATATTCTCCTGAGATTCGGTTAGAGGTCCCTACACGCGCCTGTGACTGGGTCGACTGTTGGGTCCTCGAAGTGATCGACCTGATGAGGTCGAATAGATTGCTCGATCGCTTATCTGGTCGAGCGATAGACTGGTCGACCACCTGCCTGGTCGACTATTTGAATCATCGATCCTCCCGCTTCTTGTCTCGGCTTCCTCCTAGTTTGATCTTCTCGACCGGCTGAGTAGACCGGTTGATTCCTTGAGTATATAATATCCCATATCATCTAGTCCCCCCACTCTGGTCGAGTCTAAATGACTCGATCTAAGAGTGAATTAGTGTTTATCGACCTCCTGGATGGCTCGTCATCAGATATCAACCAGCTGATAAATTTCCCGCTCATGTTTTCAAATAATTTCCCATTAATTGCTAGAAATAAAGTCGCCTGTTTCAAGTCCTTTCTGTCGCGCCTGCTTTTCTGCCACGCGTCGTGTCTGCTGCCTGTGTCAGGCGTTTTAATGATGACACCTCTTCGCATAACGCGCCAGCCTTGAGTGTCGTGCCATTTAATGCTTATCACCGCACGATTTGCCCTTAATCTAACGGTCATCATCTTCTCGCCCCTTTAGCCTTCCCAAATATAAATTCAACACTTAGCCAATTTTCAGACTTTTTCCACCCTTGTCGCTCTCAAATTCCTCTGCACCCAAAATTCTCTCTGCAAAAACTCCACTTTCTCGGCGATTTCTCTTGCGTTCTCTCGAACTTCCAACACTCGTTGATCCACGGTTATGAGTAAGTCTCTCCACACTTGAATTTGTATTCTCCGTAGTTCTATTTTGCGTATTCTTGGATTTTCAATATTGGGTATCCTTGATTTGTTTGTTGAATCATTTCGAATTGGCGTGTCTTGTGTTGAATTTGTGCTCTGAATACTTTTGTCTGTCTGTTGGATGTTGCGGATTTTATTTTTCCTCTGAATTTTTTTTGAAATTTCCGTCCTCCTGCCTCTCGAATTCTTCTCCTGGTTTTTGGGATTGCTCCTTCTGAAAACCCTAGTCTTTCTTCCCCCCCCCCCCTTTTTCTTTGCGACGACTTCTTTTTGATATTGTTCTCTTTGTTTTTATTTTTTCAGACTCTGCGACCTCCTCTGATTCAGTTGAAATACTGCCTTCTGCACTCGAAGTTGTTCCTCTCTCTATACTTCGCCCCGGCGACACAGTTTCTACTCGTATTTTCACGGCTCGAGTTTTTTCCCCCAATTCTGGAGACACCATGGATAATATCCCTCTCTGCCGTCGTCGACCTACCATCGGTGAGTTAGATGAACCTGAGGGGGATGAAGTTGTTTCTTCTCCTCCCTCGACCATTCCTTCTTCCTCACCCCCCCTGGTACTTCTATCTCTCCTCCTAAAAAGAAATCGACCAAAGCAGCTTCTAAACCTTCTTCCTTTTCTCTTTCTAGCCATTGAGTAAACCCCTCAACAATTGGCCAACCTGCTGGTTGGACATTCTATAGCCCTGCTTGATCTGACAAGTTGACCATCCCCCGGAAAATTGCTGCACTTTCTTCGAAATCCAATTTAAGCTTGGCTTGCGTTTTCCCTTGAACCCCGATATACTTTGCATTTGCGAGTGGTTCTCCTTTCCTCTGCATCAACTTCCTCCTAACGCCATCCGTTTCATAACCACCTTCATCATTCTCTGCCGCATCCGTCTAGGTCGATTTGACCTAGACTTCTTCCACTATTGCTATGGCCCTTCTAAGCAAGGTCAAGGCCTCTATCTAAAAAGCTGCAACGGTGCCCACTTCATAAATGACATCCCCACCAATCTTCCCAAGTGGAGTGACAAATTCATCTTTGTTCAGCCCGACGTCCCTTTCTCTTGGCCTTCCATTCCTTGGGTCAAGGAAGTCTCACGAGAGGCAGCCTCGGCCCCTCCTACCAACCCTCTTTTCGACCAACAGATTTACACTTGGAATTCCAAGTCCGTCGCGTCCGAGAAACTTCTCAAGGACGAGAACCTTCTCCATTTTTGTGGTCTCTTCACCCACAAAACTCTATCTCCGCCCACCGAGGAGATTCTCGACCTTGTCCGTATTGAAAATGACCCAGGTAATTCTCGATCAGTTCACCTGAGTCTTTACGTATATTTGCTTGTTTGTTAACGTAAGTGCTAGTGCTGATTTTATTCCCCTTGGTGTGCTTGTGCAGAGGCTCCCAGCTTTAACATTCCCTTGAGGAGGGTTCCTCTAAAGAAAAAATTGGGGACTGCTGCTGGGACGACCGGCGACAATACCGACGGGTCGACCACATTCTCTGGGTCTCGACCCGAGCGACAACAGCCATCCCCTCCTCGTCAGACTCCTTCTCAACCGTCTCCCTTGCAACCACCGCCATCATCTCAATCCCAGCCATCACCGCCCCAACAACAAAATCAACAACAGCAACCGCCGCAACAGAAGCAACCATCTTCGTCGCAACAACAGCCCCAACAAAAACAACAACAACAGCAACAACACAGATCCGCCTCTCAATCGACCACGAAATCCTCGAACTCCTCGAAGACCGTCGACCCCCAACACAAGACCGATGATCGCCAAAAAACCGTCGACCGTCATCAAAAGACAGACGACCGCTCTTAGAAAACAGGTCCTCGAGCTCCCCATCCCAAAGACAACCTTCAAGACCAAACTACCGATAAATCCTCCGATCCCAACGCCTCATCCAAAACCAAAGCCCAAGAGAAGCTGCCTCTCGCCCCCCAACCTTCTACAGCTCCTTCTGCCGGATCGACCAAAGCTGTGGTCGAATCCGGCCACCCTGATGATGGGGGGCGTGAATTGGCCTTGGGCAAACGCTCCCGCACCGACCAGAGCGAGGCGGTTTTCAAACGAAAACGCACTGGCCATCTTCCTCCTAATCCTCTTGCCTCAAAGTCGACGTCCCTGCTATCCGCTTCTATCAACGAGGTGGCCGAACGCCTCGAGGGTGCCCTCCTCGAGGACGATCGAAAAAAGGCCCGCGTCACTCTGACCGAAGTTGGCGACCAACTCGTGCAATGGTTAGCCGAGGTATTACTTTTATATTTGCACTGATTTTCCTTCCTACACTTTTTCGACCTGCTGATTGATTTGTTTTATCTTTTTCGGTTGCAGGGCTTGGTCAAATTCTTGCCTCTGGCCCAGGAGGCCCGAGACAGCTCGGGGAAGTCGATAAAAAGCTTGGAGAGCAATATCTGCTACTTGCAGGACAAAAATTTGACCCTCCTGACTCAGAACACCAAGCTCCGCGAGACGCAAAACGAGCAAAAATCCGAGTTCGAGGTCAAGATCAAGTCACTTGACGTGGAGCTCTCGAACAAAAATAAGGCTCTCGCAGAGAGAGAAGCCGCCCTCGCGGTAAAGGAGGTGGCTGTGGCGGAAAAAGAGACCGCCTTGAAGGAGAGGGAGACTGCCCTCGAGCAGGAGAAGGCTGCTCGAGCCCAGGCAGATAGTGCTCGAGCTGAGGTGGAGGCCGCTCGAGCTGAGGCGGAGGCCGCTCGAGCTGTGATGGAGGCAACCTTGGCCACAGAACGGGCTGCCCACGCCCAACAATGCAAACGCTACGCTGATGCCGCTGCTCTTCGAGCTCGGCAAATGATGTGGGGCACCACTATTGGGCAGCTCTTCCTCCGAGAGTACCGCGATCAAGTGGTGGCCGATTACACACGGTCACCACATTTTCTGAAGGAAGTGCAATATTTTGGGGTGGACTGCTTTCAGTTCGCCCTTCAAAAGGCCGACAAGCAAATCGCTGAGGACGACTTCGAGCAGCTCGACCCTGGGGCTATCTGGGAGGCCTTGCCCAAGTTCCCTTCTAGCTTCTAGGGCGATCCCAACTTACTGCCTGAGCACGAGTGGTGGTCCGGGCTGCTCGAAAGGACTCTGGCTCGATCGGACACTTTGAAGAAGACTTATGCTCTGCCCGATGGCCTCACTCCTCCTGCCTCGATGCTGGCCGTGCTGACCGAGTCTAT